AAAAAAGATGTATTTTTTATTTTAGTATTTCTGTTATATATTTTTTAAAAAAATTGAAATTACAATAAGTATTAAAATTTAAAAATTTATTATTATTTCTTTACCCGCTATGTTCTTGAAATATTTTAAACATAATGTTTAAGATGATTCTAAAAAATATTTAGTGTATGAGATTTAAACATATTAATAATTTAAAATACAAAATGTGATAAATTTTTTTTAAAATAATAAAATAAAAATACAGTATCTAACATGGTACTTAAGCAATAAACCACTTGTTAATAATGACTATCTACTTTTTCATGCTCATCACCAATCATCATAAGCACTTTAATTATTTTTTTCTGTATTTTATTATGAATATCATATGAAATTATTGAGAAAATGCATAATTATATATTTGTATATGTTTTATAAAATTAGGTACTTCAAAATATTTTTATATTTATATATCTAGAATATGTCAAAATTATAAATTATTATTCTATTCTTTTTGGTCGTTTGAAGATGCAATAAGTTTTGATTAATAGGACAAGGCATGCCTTCTGATGAACAGTCGAAAAATAATATTTCATATGAAATTATTTTTATTTTTATTTTCTAAATTCTTGGGTTTATATACCATTTTATTCAAAAAATTATTAAAATTATTACCTAATTTTTTATATCAGATAGTATGACCTAATTCTAAGTTAATTCATGGAAATGATCTAATTCTAAGAATATAGTATTTTGAACGAAAAGCAGTGAAAATTTTTTCAGAACGGAGGAGGAAACCAAGAGATTGATTATGAATTTCAATAAGTTGAACGGCAAACAGTCTTCAGGAAAAAAGTAAATTGAAACAAAAGACTGGAGGAACGTGGGAACGACCTTGCAAGAGATTGATTAACAGCAGGTTCCTTTCTTAAATTCTTGTTGATAATCTTTTATATTCTATCCAGTTTGTTCCCCTTTTAACCTGTTTGATTGAGTAGCAAGCTAGACAGGTATTTGATTCTCTTTTTCTCTACCTTCAAACTTCCCCCTCTGGTGTTTATTTTATGTCTTCAACGTACCCAATTTAAATTCACTCTTCAATGATAAATCAGATTGGATAGTCTGTGATTCTATTATTTAATACGGATATTCGTGGACTTCTGGGTTTGTCGCCTTTTTTCTTCTTTTCCTTTTATTGATTGGTTTTTTTTTTTTTTTTTTTTTAATTTTCTTTACCATCTTTAGGTATTTACTATTTGTTTCTGCTATGACATAAACTGCATGTTTTATAGACATATTTAAGTGCCAGGAAGCATTTTATAGTTGCCCTTGATTCTGTACATGTTGGGTCTTGTGAGCTTCATGCTTTTGTAGAAAGCATTCAGACACTTGCTTGGCCATTGATCTAGATTCTAAAAAGTGTATGTTTCTTTTATTCTGTATAATTACAAGTGAAAAGCGTAGTTGATGAGTGTTAGCGTACTAGATTCAGTGATTAGATTAGAGATGACAGAAAAGAAGATAGAAAATCAAGTTAGGAAAACACTGTAGAAATATCATCCTCATCCTGATTCCTGAAACTTTTTATAATTTGTAACAGTTACCATCTCTATGCACGGTGGGGTTATTTATGTTAACTCATCAATTTCATATCTTATTTTGGTCGGTTACAGTTTCTGGATTACCATTTAGCAGTGGTGAGAAAGCTGGGTACTCAGATGAATTCAATCACTGGTTGCTACCCACTTGAATCCATCCATCCAACCTCCACTTGGACAGCCAGCAAATGCCGAAATAGCAGGGTTCTCATGGTTACTCAGTTTTCTCCTTCACCAGTACTGTCCTGCATTGAGAGTTATCCTCAAAAAGAATGTACTTCACACATTTCATTGGCTGATTCAGATAAGAAACTCAGTAGTTCATCAACATCTAAGGTTCTGCAAGATGTGCATATAGTAAGAGCTGAAAAACTACAAATTCTGCACTTTTTCCAATTATATTCTCGCTTCCACACCGTAAATTCTTGTTTTGCAGGAACATTTTTGTGATACTTAGCTTCTAGTTACTGACTAATGTTTTTATTGTTGAAATTTTCCATATCTTGTGATGGCTCTGAGAATATTATTATTATTTTATTCTGTTGGATCAATATGAAAATAACTCTCTGGATAAGGTAATGACATTCTTTTTTTTTTTTCTGTTTTTCTTTTTTCCTTAGTCAGCTAGACTGGTGGAAGATTTTGCTGAACTTGCCCGAGAAAACACAGAGAAGGACCTGGAAACATGTGGAGTTCTTGGTGCTTTTCTTGTGAGATTCATACTTTTTTTTGTTTCTTCGTTCAAGAAAAAGATGACTATATTTGCTCTTGAATGAAATTCATTATTTGCTTTACAAGTGGTTCTCTGTATTTGTTTTGCCTATCTATGGATTCTTTACTATGGTTTGTCAACGTATTGGGATGCCCTATTTCTGCTTCAGCTAAGCTTCATTATACTTTATGTCGTTGTTTCCCATTCTTGTTTCCGGTTGAAGAAAACTCTTCTCAATAGCAATGCCTGTTAGACACTTATTCTTTCAATGAAAATGCAACATTTCAATCTAACTATCTTTTAACCTCCTTTTCAAGCTTTCTTTTTGTTAAGAACAAATTCTGAATTTTCCTAGTTAGAAATTGTAAGATAAAAGTTTTCCATTGTGAAAAAGTTAAGTTAGCTATCTCTCGACGTATTCCAGAGTTTCCATACGCAGTCTCAAAGTCAAATATATAATGATTTCTGTAAAATTTATCATATTTCTGGTTCAACAAAGATGTGATGCATATAGTTAGTGCTGTTTAATACAATATGAAGACTTGGTCGTTTAGAATGTGTCATCCATAGATTACCTCGCTGGATGATGCCACGTATTGTATAACATCCTCAATGATGTTTTTGTTCAATTGATTTTATTATTTGAGTTTCATTTATTACCAATGTAACAAAAGATCCTAGTTATATGCCTCCATTTATCGTGTCAGGCTGTGCTATGATTACATTTCTGTCTTCTGCTTCTTGTCCTGTTGTGGTATTTGGATGTTTGCTTCTATCCTTCTTTACTCACTTTTCTCTCTTTTTTAAATTAATCAGGAAGAAGAGTTTATTTACCTTTTATACTTTTTATGTATGTTTTTTCCTCGCTCATTCCATCTAACCAGGAGGAGGAGACCTTATACGCAACCACTCTTATAATACCCAAACAGGAATCAACTTCCAATTCTGTAAGCCTACGGTTAAACTTCATTTGTACTGATTAGTTGGAGGCGACTATGTTTTCTCCTGGTACTTATCAATTCTATTAATTATATTGAACGGCAGTGCCAAGCTGTAAATGAGGAGGAAGTTTTTGCCATACAAAGTGAACGATCTCTTTTTCCAGTAGGATGGATTCATGTATTCCGCCTCTCTGATTGTGTTTACATTATCTCAACTCATTTCTTCATTTCCTTTCTGAAACTTTTGTTTCTATTTTTAGTGCATACTTGAATAGTATGTTATTTCTACTTCCAGACACATCCTTCTCAGGGCTGTTTCATGTCCTCAGTAGATCTGCACACTCACTACTCATATCAGGTAAAGTAATTTTAGATGCCCAGATGCTTGCTTGATATTACAGACACCTAAGTTTAATTAGAAATGTGAAATTCCACTGATAGTTATTGGTATCTAATTTTCCTGTAAATGAGCTTTGTAGTTGTACCATATGAGAAACTAAACCCTCCTGCTTATATTAGCAATTGTTTGCTTCCTTTTCCATTTAATTCCATGCTAATTTCTAGATCTATCTTTTACATTAGCCAATATGCATAATTAAGTAATAGCTAAATTATCTCCCTCTAGGAATCCAAGAGATGAAGTAAAACAGAAAAATTAAAATCTTAATTATGTAATCAAGAGTACTATAAGAATTACAATTAAAACTTGAATGGGAAATGAACCAAAATGAGACCTAAAGGTTTTGGGAATCCAAAGTGGAAAAGGAAAAGACTCTTCTCTCCCTTTCTTACTACTATTTCTCCTGTACTGCTTACTTTACTATTTATTTCTTAAATTAATTTGGTTCAGCCTATTTGTTTCTCATTCAAATCTTAAATATTAATTATTTTATATCTAAAATTTAGTCATAATTTGCATATTTGATGCATAATTGAGTCAACTTTGCTCATTTTTTCACTTCCTGGGCCATTGATTTGAATTCTTATTTTTCAATTTATGAATCATAAGGACATCTAACTTGAATTGGACAAATAATTGACTGAAATTCAAACACTATTTTGTCAAAATTCCTATCATATTTATATTTTATTTTCATTCTTATTCATGGAATTGAAATTCAAACATACAATTGGAGTCCAGAATGATAAAAATGACTTACTGAATCCTTTTGGGAATCTGGAGTTGCTAGATGTTATTTCTCCAGCTGATGCATGCTACATTTCATAGATATTTTTAACCTCATATCATATCAGGTAATGGTACCTGAGGCCTTCGCTATTGTCTTGGCTCCAACAGATAAATCAAGGTACAGAATCACTTCTCATTATGTTGGTTAAGATACTATATAAATAATTAATTTGTGTCTTTCCTTTATCAGAAATTTGGTTACTAAGTAGTTAACATGGTGGAAGAGTTTGCATCATGGTCTCATACCTCCTCTTCTGCAAATCTAATCAGTATTCTAATTATTTGTCCTATATTCTGGTCCACATGCAGTTCTGCTTGCTCAAGTTTTAAGATACAACATAGATTATAAATTAGGTATTCTCCTACTGGCTTGGTTTCAAATTATAAATTGGTCACAACTCATTATTTAACAGTGGAAGCCAACAAGTTGGACTTACGCAATACTTTTATTAGTTACAAATCAATCACAATATGCTTATCTCAAATTTCATGTTTAGAACACCTCCTCCACCACTTGTTAAATTATAATCTTTTTTTCCTTTTTTTTTAATTAGTGTGTTCTTTTGCCCTATAGCTGTCTTCCTAGTGCTTTCAGCCGGAACTGTACCAGTACAACCACTTTTATCTTTTTGTATATTGACGCATTATGTCTACCAATTTCTTATTTTTCATTCATGATTTTTGTCTAGATGCAGTCTGTTCTTTGTTGCATAGCCACTTTTCTTTAGGATCATCTGCAAGCTGGAGTCATTATTAAGTTGTTTCCCTTGTGTTGTATATTGTGCTAAATTATTCCCTGCAATCTAATAGTCTTTACTTTAGTTCAAGGTATCTACCTAAATGGAAATTCATTGATATGCAAGTTTAACTATATCACAGTATCTACTTTACTATTAGTTGAAGCGATATAAATGATCCTCTGCCTTGTGGATTATATCAATATGATATCATAGCTGTTTTAATGCTAGTAAAATTGTGATCAAACTTTTTATTCCCTTTTCTCCAAAAAAAAAAAAAAAGCTCTTCATTCTCAGGTTTCCTTATGGAATGTCCTTCAGGACCTATGGAATATTTCGGTTATCTGACCCTGATGGGATGAGCGTAATGAGAGACTGCCATGAGAAGGGATTTCATCCTCATAAAGAACCAGCAGATGGGAGCCAGCTTTACGAACGCTGCTCCAATGTCTACAAAAATGCAAATTTGAGGTTGGAGATCTTTGATTTGCGCTGAGGTATGAATACTTGTTTGTGGTGAGTGATAGGTGCATGTAAGGTATACAAACTAGAGCTTCTTACTAGTACAAACTGAACAGTGATAATCACCTGGTCATAAGTGAGTTCAGTTGAGGGAGAATGTCTGATGTTACTTGAACTTGGATAGAAACATTTGTTTGTTTGTCATAATAACGACCAAAATTCATCTTGGTTCAATAAGCCTGGATCAAGTCATGGTGCAAGCTCTTTAAGTACACCCAGAAAACTGGCATAGTATGATGGATATGCACTTTCTATCATCAATACAGAGTAAGCAAGTTCACACTTTCTAGACATGCCTTTAAATTAAATATTGTGATACTGAATCATAATTTGAGACTGTATCTGCTTAAACCAAGTAATACTATGGAAGACATGATTATGTAGAAGGAATCCTATGTCATCTGATACTGAATCATCCTGTTGTTAACTGGCATATAAGATTTAAAGCTGGATTTTCTAATGAGGGAACAATATGCAATAGATGCATGAACTTACACATGATGTTTACAGGGGAAGCAAAGGTCCATACATTCCACATTTATCTCCATGCTTTTGTCTCTTTTCTTATTACAATTATTGCTTTTGTAATTTATAGGAAAAGCAGTCTGTTGCTTGTCAAGTATCCGACTTTTTATTTTTTGAATAAACAAGTATTCGTCTTGATCGTTTTGCTGAAAGCTTATGCATTTTATATATAGTTTAATTCTAGAAGCCAAAACAAACACACCCAATAAAGATCCTGCTTAGTTCTAGGTTACTAACTTTTGATGGTTTAGCTGGTGGAGAGAAGATGAAAAGATTTGAAGCAAATTCAAGAAGAAAACATCAATGAAGTTGCATGATTAGTAGTTTTATGATGGATTTTGCGAAGAAAAGGAAGCGTTTGGAATGGATAGTGGGATGAGAATACGCTAATTGAATTTGTTAGAGCTGCGGAAGGAACTTATCACATGACACAGGCTTTGCCATGTTGTGAAAAATGCTGAGGGAAGTAGCGTTCTTTCTTTTTTTTTTCACTGCAAATGATCCCTCGAGTGATTAATATTTCTGTTCCTCTTTATATGGATGTGAGCTTAATTTGGGTTACAAGTTCTGTATGATATTATTAATTATATTATTATTATAATATAATACTAACTAATTATTAAGATTAAGGAATTTTTATTGAAAAATATGTAGTAAAATTTAAGAAATTACTATTATTATTATTACTGTTTATATCTTAAAAGTAATAAAATAGATTCATAATTATATTAATAATATAATCACAATTATTTTTTAAATATAACAATCAATTTTAAATCATAAATAAATTTGAAATTTTTTAAAAAATCTACTTATAATGTAAAGACTCGAAACTAAAAGAAAATGATTTATTATCTAAATGCAGAAGTGAATAATAAAGTTATGGTTTATATTTTTTATACAGTAAATTAGAATGTCCAATAAGATTACGAGAATGTTCTTTCTATATTGATTAATAAAAAAAGATAAACGATAATTAAAAATAAGTAAATAAATATTTTAGGAGGTTAATTTCTACTAAATAGATATTTTAGGAGGTTAATTTTTACTAACACTTGAAGGGAGTTCGGGAGGTGAACTACTCACAATTCTCTAACTGACTGGGATCTGGATTTTGATTTTTTTGATATTAAATGGTTAATAAAAAGGTGAGTTATACTAATTCAGTAAGAATGTCACACTAATTACTGATACGGAAAATCGAAGGTTGGTAAAAATCATAAAATAACTAATAGAGCTCTTAATTTAAGTAAATACATTTGACTTTAAAATGTTTTATTCTATATTTATCGTTACAGGTTTTCCCAAAATCAACCTATTAAAACAAGTAACCAAATTATATTTTAATTTCATGTATGAGATCAGTAATTCTTTTTTTTTTCCTATTTACTGGGACACGTGAGGTCCATATAGATATCTCCCTATTCGTGAACGCGGTATCTACATTTGACAATTAACCTAGTTGTCTCCATACCCCGTCCGGTAATGGGTACCAAAAATACTATTGTTTCGATACCCTGTCTGGTATGGTGGTGAACTATATCTTCCAAACTTTTTTGGTATAAGACTTCTCAGTTCTGTCCGACTGAAATAGTGTTCACGATAGGGTTTCTTATATACCGGATCCGTCTATCATTTCCCAGAGTACCTAGTAAGCTTATATATATATATATATATATATATATATATATATATTCTCATCAATCAAACAACCACCAATCGCATACCAACATCTCATTACGTATTTACAGATTTATTTAAAAGGCATCTAAGCAAGTAATATAATTTAACATAACCGAATAACTAAATAACCAAATAAATAGTACAGGAAAAATCAAATAAACCAAATAACGAAGAACATAATTCAAACTAGTAATTTCATGCACATAATACGATAGTCAATATTTTAAATAATACATGAGAAAATAAGCAGGTAAATTAAAAAAATTATACACTAACCGGTTCCAGCTCTACTAGTGACATGTAATTATTGTTATAGTTTTTTTAATTTTCACAAAATATGGGATTATTAATTATTAGAGTGAAGGATCCTTACCCGCATTGATGTTTTGAAATGCTATGCTACCCATTACGCCTCTTGGCGGGCCCTGAATTTCTTGATTTTTTTTTTTGCGGAAATAAAAATACTCGTCATGTACCTAAAAATACCATAAAAATCCAAAATCGGTGTTAAAAATCTTTCCTGGCCAATCTTAGGGTTCCAGCATGGCGATGCCGCAGTGCTCCGCCGCAGTGCTCCAGCACCGACTCTGCCATTTATGGCGGCAGTTTGCCTCAATCTAACTGGTTTTACATGTAACCCTACGAAAAAATACGTTAAAAAGTCTCGATTGGCCAAAAAAACTAAAAAATCGAACTTACCAGCGAAGGGTCTTCGGGTGCGGCGGCT